TTGAAAGTTATTTAGTTATTAAGTTAATTAATCAATTTTCAAGTATAATATTTTAGGCATAAGTATTTGGAAGTAATATATTTGTATTAATGATTTAATTATATAATTTAATGATAATAAATCATCTTTATACTTATGCATTATTTGAAAGTTATTAAGTTAATTAATTAATTTTTTAGTAAAATATTTTAGGCATAAGTATTTGGAGGTAAGATATTTATATTAATGATTTAATTGGACAATTTAATAAAAAAAAAACATCTTTATGCTTACGCATTATTTGAAAGTTATTAAGTTAATTAATCAATTTCTCAGTAAAATATTTTAGACATAAGTATTTGGAGATAAGTTATTTATATTAATAATTTAATTAGATAATTTAACAATAATAAATCATCTTTATGCTCATGTATTATTTGAAAGTTATTAAGTTAATTAATCATTTTTTAAGTATAACATTTTAGGCATAAGTATTTGGAGGTAAGGTATTTATATTAATGATTTAATTAAATAATTTAACAATAATAAATCATCTTTATGCTCATGCATTATTTGAAAGTTATTAAGTTATTAAGTTAATTAATCAATTTCTCAGTAAAATATTTTAGGCATAAGTATTTGGAGGTAATGTATTTATATTAATGATTTTAATTAGACAATTTAATAATAATAAATCATCTTTATGCTCATGCATTATTTGAAAGTTATTAAGTTAATTAATCAATTTTCAAGTATAATATTTTAGGCATAAGTATTTGAAGGTAAGGTATTATATTATTGATTTAATTGGACAATTTAATAATAATAAATCATCTTTATGCTCACACATTTTGAAGTTATTAATTAATCAATTTCTTGATAAAATATTTTAAACATTTAGAAAGTTAAATATTTGAAGATAAAGTATTTATATTATGACAATTTAACGAAAAAAAACATCTTTATACTCACGTATTATTTGAAAGTTATTAAGTTATTAAGTTAATTAATCAATTTTCTAGTATAATATTCAGGCATTTAAAGAGCTAAGTATTTGGAGGTAATGTATTTATATTAATGATTTTAATTAGACAATTTAATAATAATAAATCATCTTTATGCTCACACATTATTTGAAAGTTATTAAGTTAATTAATCAATTTTCCAATATAATATTTCAGACATCTAGAGAGTTAAGTATTTATAGTAAGATATTTATAATGATTTAATTAGACAATTTAATGATAATAAATCATTTTTATGCTCACGCATTTAAAAGTTATTAAGTTAATTAATCAATTTCTCAGTAAAAATATTTCAGGCATTTCATTACAGCACATTTGTAAACTACTCCAAAAAATTTGAAAATTTTATGATGAGTCATTTAATAAATTTCTATGTTCAGTGGAATGCATCGTGGACAGAAAGATAGGTTAGCATGTAAAGAAGATGGGTTAGACTCGTTATTGGTACAGATCAGAAGTCCAAAAGATTTTTTCAGAGTTTAACATTTGTTTAATATATAATTTGGTAACCAAAATTTAAATTTGGGACCAAATGATTGGATTTGGTGATCAATTGTTTGCTAATGCGATGTAATGTAGAGAGTTAAGTATTTAGTGATAAAGGTTTAATTGGTAAAATTTAGCATAGGTTATCATTAATAAGAATTTTTTTTATACTCAACTTATATTTCTGAATATCAAATGACATTCAGTAAATCTGAAATAATAATCATATTGTGACCTTCTCTAATCGAACTTTTTAATTTTGCTACTTTAACTTCTGATCTCCATATATTATACGTAGCTGTAATATTACACTTCTAATTATATCATAAATATATCAGAATTCATTTAATAAACTCATATTTAAGGCAGTCATAATTCAAAAATATAGTATATTAATACACAATAAAAGAGATAAAAAAAAATTTCTTTTTTTCATTACCTTTACTTTTAATAGTGCAGGTTTTCTTTGTATTATCCTTTTTCACTATTGTTCTTACCATTTGTTCTATCATTCGTTCATTCTATTATTAAATCTAAAAAAAAATAACATGAGTAAAAAAGAAATTTGTAAAATTGTGCCATCTGAAATTTGTGAAATTGTGCCGTCCCAAAAAGGCAATAACAAAATAAAGGTTAACGGATATTTAATGGTAAAAGAAAAGAATAATGGAGATAGGTACTACTGGTGCTGTGAGAATAATAAGTTAATTAAATATAAGGGTCAGGCAGTAACAGTTTTAAATAATAGCCTACATGATTTAAAACAATCATCAGAACATATCCATGCTCCTCAAGTGAGCAGATCTGAAGTTGTTAAAGCTGTTGCTAAAATCAAAAAACATGTATTGGAGACTAGGGAAAAGCCAACTCAGCTTATCCAAGATAATATGAATTTTATCCCTAAAGAAGTTAGACCATATATGCCAATGCTCAGTGCCCTTCGCAGAGTGGTAACTCATGCTCAAAAAAATGAAGGATTACAAGAACCACAAAGTGCTTCAGATCTTATTTTGCCATCTTCACTCTGCAATACTTTAGATGGTGACAATTTTTTAGTTAAGGATCATAAAGTTGAGGAAAAACAACTTCTAATATTCATGACTAAAGAAAATATTCGGTATTTGTCTACAGCCTTATTCTGGATAATGGATGGAACCTTTAAGACAGTTCTGTCTATTTTTTGCCAACTTTACACAATTTACGCTCCTGTAGGCTCAGAAAGTAACTCAAGAATCTTACCATTAGTGTACGCTCTCATGATACACAAATCAAAAGAAATATATAGATAGAATAACAAAGTTTTTGGGGCACATAAATTTATTTTGTACTGCAGAATATCTAGTGCTCAGCATAATTAAACAAAAATTTGATATTCAAAAATACTATCCTTATTAAGCAAACTTTCTCATCTCTTAATGTTTTAAAAAAATAGTTAAAATTTTGTTTTTTTTACTATCCCTATTATAGGTGGTTTTTTAGCAATTTATCAGAGTTTGCTAAAGATAACGATCTTCAATTAATGCCTACTCGAATCATTACTGACTTTGAGTTGGCACCTATCAACGCATCTCATCATGAATTCCCAAATGCAGTTCAAAAAGGTTGCTACTTCCACCTGTGTCAAAGTGGATGGCGCAAAATTCAGGAAAATGAGCTAGCTGCCCAATATAGAAATGACATTTGGTTTAGTTTAATGATCTGCCATTTATTTGCTTTAGCGTTCTTTTCAGCTCAAGAAATTCCTGCCACATTTGAAATTCTGAAGGTAAGTATGCCTTCAGAAGCAAGTAATATAACTCAGTAGTTCAAGGAATATTATATTCCTGGAAAAGTACGACATAGGTCACGTGATGGAACTGTAGCAACTCGTGGCTTGCCTTTATTTCTACCAAGCTTATGGTCTATTTATGATTTGATCAAGCTAGGCGTTCTGAGAACGCAGAATGTCATGGAGGCCTGGCACCACTGTTGGAAGACATTAGTTGGAGGATTAAATGTGAGTGTCTATAAGATAATTAATGAAATGCAAAAAGAATAGCAAAATGTTGAAACTCAGATTGAATGGATACTTCGTAGAGAGCAAAGACCTAAACCAAAAAGATGTTTTATTGAAAAAGAGAAAAGGCTAATGACAGTTTTTAATGACTGAGAAAATTGAAATGTTATAGAGTTTTTGCGTGGAATTTCTGATAATCTTTCTGCTTATCTTTCTTTGTGATGCTAATTTTTCTGCATATCTTTGTGATTCTGCTTTATCTTTCTGCTTATCATTGCAATATTTTTTTTTGTTAATATATTATTAGATCTGTAATTAAACTTTTGCAATAACAGATATATAATATATAATTGGCTAATACCTAAAATATTGTATTAATACTTTTCAAATTAAGATTCTATAAGATTCAAATCAATTAGTTCCATGTGCT